CATCCCCCTTCTGTTCTGAAATGTGATTTGTCCTTTTCATGTGTGTTCATTTTTTTTAATTGTATCCTTTGGTATATATGGTTGTGACTATTTTCTTCCACTATTTGATCTGAGGAAGTGGGTCTGGCCCACGAAAGCGCATCACCTAATAAACCATCTTGTTAGTCTTTAAAGTGATACATAGTCCTGTATTTTGCTTCAGCTACACCAGACTAACACAGCTACATTTCTATCACTTCTGAGATACAGCCTAAGACCAGAGAGACTGCTATTGCCTGGCCAAGAGGGGAAGTCTACCTGCATCCGGACTGGTGAGTGTGACACTGTGTGCTTAGCGTGTGTATTCTGCTTGTTTGGGAATTGTCAATACATAGAGGATAAGGATATTACTGCGTGAGGCTCTTTCAGTGGCTAAAGATCCTGCAAAACCCGCAGGAAGATGCACCCTGAGCCCTAGGAATTGGGTACGGTGGGGGTGTAAATTAACAGGGTTGCCCTAGGAACTGGGTGAGGGTGTGTGTCCCTACAGTGTGGAAGGGAGAGAGAAATTTGTGCGGGTAACAGAACTGGTCCCCATATAGACCCCTGCGAGACACTACCAGTTACCTCTCTCCATTCTGAAAACTGACCATTTATTCCTTCCCTTTGTTTCCCATCTTTTAACCAATTATCCATCCATGAGAGGCCTTCCTTCTTATCCCAGGTCAGCTCACTTAAGAACCTTTGGGGAGGGACCTTGTCAAAGGCTTTCTGGAAATCTAAGTACAGGATCGTCATTGTGACCCCCTCAAAGAATTCTAATAGCCTGGTGAGGCATGATCTCCCTTTGGATGACTCTTACCAAACATTTGTGTTCACCGATATCTCTGGTAATTCTGTCGTTACCATCATTTCAACCAATTTGCCTGGTACTGAAGTTAGTGTTACTGATCTGGAGTTGGCAGGACTGCCTCAGCAGCTTTAAAAAAAAATTGGCTTGACATTACCTCTCTTCTTACCATGTGATGGAGAGGCTGATGTGACAGGTTACACAGCCCGTCAGTGTTCTGCAATATTATATCCGAGTGCCTTCAGAACTTGAGGGTGAGCACTGTTTAATTTATCGATTTGTTGAAAAAACGCCTCTACTGGCACCTCAATCTGAGATATGCCACGTAGGAGCAAGTTCTCAACAAAACGCAGCTTCTATTTAGGTACCTACGGAAGAGCCAAAACTTCATAGAATGCTCAGTGCCCAGCATGTGGCAATGTCTTGAAAATCTGACCCTTAATTTCTCCAGACTTCAGTTCCCCAACTGTAAAAGGGAGGAGGGGGGGACACTTCCTTCCCCAACTTTGTGTCTCTTTTCTGTCCTGTAGGCGCTGGGAGTCAGGGAACATATCTTACGGCCTGTGTGTCTCACAGTTAGCACACTGGTAAACGTGAAGGCTACGTCTACACTGGCATGAATTTCCAAAAATGCTTTTACCAGAAAAGTTTTCCGTTAAAAGCATTTTCGGAAAAGCGCGTCTAGATTGGCAGAATGCTTTTCTGCAAAAGCACTTTTTGTGGAAAAGCGTCCGTGGCCAATCTAGACGCGGTTTTCCGCAAAAAAGCCCCGATCACTGGCCCTTTTGTGCAAAAGTCTTCCGGAAAAAGACTTTTGCCCAAACGGGAGCAGCATAGTTTTTCCGCAAAAGCACTGATGATTTTACATGAGATCGTCAGTGCTTTTCCGGAAATTCAAGCGGCCAGTGTAGACAGCTGGCAAGTTTTTCCGGAAAAGCAGATGATTTTCTGGAAAAACTTGCCAGTCTAGACACAGCCGAATTGTTTACTTTTGCTGGTAATCTCAGGAGAAACGTGTGTGTGTGTCTACCAGCCCTGGCGTATTTATTGTGTTTTCTTGTTAATTCCCCTTCTGGGTCCCACCCGGTCTCTGGTGCTGCAAGGCTCCACCCGCATGTTAGCTAAGCAGGGTGAAATTGCTCCCATCGCTCTTGGTTCCAGATGGCTCAACCCCACCCACAGCAGCTCCAGATTGCTGCCCCTGAGAATTGTACCGCCTTCAAAGAAATCTCTCACAAACCCACAAGACAGAACAGGGTCTCCTCTCTCTTCTCCCACTGGCCCCTTCCCTAAGTAGGAGCATGGAGAAAGATCTGCCTCCCTTTGGCAGGGGAGCGGCAAGAATTGCCCTCTCCAAATGACAGACCTGCAGGCCTTGTGCCGGATAGTTTGCCCTCTGGGTGGCAGTATCACGCCAGCCATGCCAAAGGCAGCTGTGCTGGAGCAGCCAACTCAAACCGGGCAGGCCAGGGTTACGGGTTACGGCGCTCCGGTGGGCCCTCTCGGCCCTGCCCCACTGCACCTGTGGCAGTTACAAAGGGAAGAGGGCAAGGAGAGCAGAGCCCTTAAGCTCTGCTCTGGAGAAAGGCTCAGAGCCTGTGCAGACGGCCGGCTGGCTGCCAGAGCTCGAGGGGGAGGTGGGCCTGGCACGGCACGGTGGACAGTGTACTCGGGACCCTTCTGCAGCAAAGCCATGCAGTGATTCGCAGCTGCCTGGGCGAGCTCTGCGGGGCCCAGTGAAACTGTTGCAGAGAACCCCTAAATGGGAGGGGTGGGGCGATGCCTACATGAGTCTGCCTTGTGGTTTGCCTTAAACCCAGAAGTGGGGGTCACATCCTCCCATGTGCAGCATGGGGAAGGCCACGCCCACTGCCAGGTCTGCACTAGGCCATGAACTTGAGCAGCGCCTGGGCAAGGCCTGTGGGACCCAGCGAGACTCTTGCATAGAATCGTGGGTGACACTAAGGCGGGGGGAGAGGTAGGTACACAGAGCCCTGCAAATCCCCAGATAGCTGCTTTGTAGCCGTGGGAATCCGCGTCTGCGGATATGGATGCAGATATCTGTAGCTCGTTTTTGCAGATATTGATGAGGGTGCGGATATAAATGTGGCATCCATGCAGGGCTCTATTGATCCGTTGGAGGGCAGGGACAGGGTCCAGAGTGATTTAGACACATTGGAGAACTGGGCCAAAAGAAATCGGATGAGGTTCAACAAGGACAAGTGCAGAGTCCTGCCCTTGGGACGGAAGAATCCCCAAGCATTGTTACAGCCCGGGGACCGACTGGCTAAGCAGCAGTTCTGCAGAAAAGGAGCTGGGGGTTACAGTGGATGAGAAGCTGGATGTGAGTCAACGGGGGCCCTTGTAGCCAAGAAGGCTAATGGCATATTGGGGTGCATTAGGAGGAGCATTGCCAGCAGATCCAGAGAAGTGATTATTCCTCTTTATTCGGCACTGGTGAGGCCACAGCTGGGGTATTGTGTCCAGTTCTGGGCCCCCCATTACAGAAAGGATGTGGATGCATTAGAAAAAGTCGGGCAACCAAAATGATTCGGGGGCTGGAGCACTTGACCTATGAGGAGAGGCTGGGGGGGTTGGGCTTATTTAGTCTGCAGAAGAGAAGAGTGAGGGGGGATTAGATAGCAGCTTAGATAACGCTGAAGGGGGGTTCCAAAGAGGCTGGAGAGAGGCTGTTCTCAGTGGGGGCAGATGCAGAACAAGGAGCAATGGGCTCAAGTTGCAGTGAGGGAGGTCTAGGTTGGATATTAGGAAAAACTATTTCCCTAGGCGGGTGGGAAGCCCTGGGCTGGGTTCCCTGGGGAGGGGGTGGAATCTCCAGCCCTAGAGGTTTTTGGGTCCCAGCTTAACCAAGCCCTGGCTGGGATGATTGAGTTGGGTTGGTCCTGCTTTGGGCAGGGGCTGAACTCGATGCCCCCTGAGGTCTCTTCCCGCCCTAGGAGTCTAGGATTCTATGCATCATAGAAGCACAGAGCTAGGCAGGACCACAGGTCCCAGCTGGTCCAGCCCCTGCCAAGATGCCCAGTTTGTTGTGTCTGACCCGTCCCAGACGGCCGCTCTCCAGCCTCCTTTCAAAAGCCTCCATGCAAGGAGCTTCCCCACCTCCCTAGGCCTCTGTCCCAGCGCGCTGCTGGGCCGCCAGGCAGGAAGTGCTTCTGGAGACTGACTCTGACTCTGCTCCGCTGCAGTTTGACCCGCTTCCAGATCCTGCTGCCCAACCAGTCACCCCGCCCCCGTTTGGCATGGGTGCCATAGAGCAGTGGCACAAACAGGCCAGCCTGCTTCCCAAAGCCGCCCTGCTACGGCTGGTGTCTCCGGGCCAGTGTGTCTGCACAGCAGGCCTGTGGACCGGCCCCAGGCCCTGACAGCTCCCTGCAGGGAGCTGCAGTTTGACCCGCTTCCAGATCCTGCTGCCCAACCAGTCACCCCGCCCCCGTTTGGCATGGGTGCCATAGAGCAGTGGCACAAACAGGCCAGCCTGCTTCCCAAAGCCGCCCTGCTACGGCTGGTGTCTCCGGGCCAGTGTGTCTGCACAGCAGGCCTGTGGACCGGCCCCAGGCCCTGACAGCTCCCTGCAGGGAGCCAGCCAGTCCCTGGTCTCAGCCCATCTCTCTTCACTCACTCTTCCTGGCTGGGGGGAAGCCGGCGAGGCAGCGATAGGAGACGTTCCGGGTGGCGGTGGAGTTCCACGGCGCCTGGAAGCCGCGCAGGCTCCTGTTGGACTGGAGCTGCTGCAGCACCATTTCCTGACCATTTCCTGAGCCCAGCCCCTCACCTCCTCCTAGGGCCAGAGCAGAGCCAGGTTAGCTGCCAGGCTGTGTCCCACGCCCGGGCTCTGGCTGCCGGTGCAGTGTCTGCCCGGGGAGCCCCCGAGACGTCAGCTCCCGCCCAGGAGGGACTGGCTGGAGACCAGGCTCCCCTGGGAGAGCAGCTCCATCCCCTCCTGCTCAGACGGACCCACCCGCGGGTGCCAAGGGAGGAGAGCTCCCAATCAGGGGGAGGTGGTTTACAAGAGGGGAGCATGGACTGCGGAGGAAGGGGCTGTGTCCAGGCCATGAGGCAGGGCCGGGGGAGGGATGCAGGGCAGCCCTGGGGCAGGGCCGGGGGAGGGATGCAGGGCCGCCCTGAGGCAGGCTACGGGGGGGATGCAGGGGCGGCACG